ATCAAAATGAAGTGGTTTGATAAGGAAAGCAAAATTAAAATTAATAATACAGTCTGAGTGGATCTTAAAGCTGTTTCAGTTCATAATTGTATTCAGAGAGTGATGCTTGCTCGGACTGGCAGAAGTGCAGAAAGAGTGAGGAGTCTTAGACGCCTGCTGACATTGCAAGCTGTTCTGTGTCCGTGTTTAAGAGGAGCTGCAGTGGCCCAGTTAAGTGGAGGAAATAGCTGACTTCAAGGAGGAAAGTCTAATATTTTCCCCTTTTAATTGGTACATATTAATCTGGTGCTGAAAACCATTCAGAACTTAAGCAGCATGGGATTCAGACAAGGTAAGGAAAGAAACCTGGCAAAGGAATTAATCAGTCGTCTATTGTTAAATGACTTAAAGCTGTGCTTTGAAATATGCACTGAACAACAGAAATATGCTTGAGGGGAATACTTAACAGGTGTATGATGCGTCCTGGTGGGAAAAGAAATTATGTCTGTGTTATGCTTTTCTTGTTTAGAGAAGTTTTCAGCTGCTGCTGAAGCTAATGCTGGGTGATGGCAGGACTGAGGTGTGCGAAGGGAGGTGGCAACTTCTGCCTCCTAGGAGGGAACCTGTTGTTTATAACATGTCCCAGTGAGTACAAATGTGATGCCATCTATAACCGTGGCCTAAACCTGCCAAAACAGTGTTGAAGAACTTATTTGCCAGTGAAAGAGGAAAGCTATGGCAGTTTGCCAGGTGGTGATGATGCAATTAGGTGACCTGTCCCCTGCACCAACTTTATTACAGTTTAGCATCTTCCTGTGCCAGCAAAGCAGTTCAGCTGTGTCAGGGCAGCTGATGCTGAAGGGTGCTGACCTGGCAGGTAGGAAAGCGGAATCCTGCTTGCCTTCAGCGTATGTGCTTGCCACCTACCTGCACTGGAGATCTTCATAAACAGAAGCGGTGAACAGAGCTGCTCCGTGCTTGGTGCAACTTCTGTAGCTTGGCCGCCTGTGTGCTGAGTCAGCTGGCAGAGGAAGCTGGAGAGATGTTTGTTTTGATGAAATATTCTTTACAAGGCCGTGTTTGAAGCTAGCATTTGCTGCAATTTTCTTTTTATGGAGGGTGTTTAAAAGGTGCTGCTCTGCCCTTAGAGCCAGAGAAAATCTCATTTGTCAGAATTGTTTTGCATTATTTAAACAGAAGATGGTGTTCAGAGGGGTGCTGTGTGGCGCGGCAGCAGATGGGAGTATTTGCGTTGCTAGACTAAGACTCGGTGGGGGGTTTCTCATGTGACTGAAGTGTGTTTGGTGCGCTCATTCCTCTGTTGTACCACACAATCTTTGACGCTGTGTTGCAGTGACTGAACTGTTAAATGATGTATGTTACTGAGCAAGTATTTCTGCTTGTTCAAAGCAAGCATAGCTGAAACTTTTTTTTTTTGTCACCCTTTTGCTTTGGCTGGTCTTGATTCACTGCTGAACTTTGAGGTTATTACTCATTCTTCTCAAGGACCTTACTCGTCCTGCTCCGTTTCCTTCTGTTACCAGTTCAGTACCTTGTCTTCGTTAAGGGCATAAGATCATCCGGAGAGGCTTCTGTTGGTGTGACTCAGGGGTCTGAATGTGTTTCGTCCAGGGGCCTGCCTCTTGGTGGTGAGTTTGAAGTTACACTTAAACTTGCACTTTTCAACTCAGCATTACAGGATATTGCAGCGAATCCTTGTGACACTTCATGTAGGAACTGGACTTTAAACCTTCTGTCAATCTGCTGTTAAGCACAGCTGAATCCAAGCTACTTTGCTTGACACTGGTGCTGTGATGAGTCAAGCAGAGCCAGGGAAGGGGGAGTGGATGGTGGGTCTGAGGCCCACCTGAACCCCAGCAGTGTTTGAGAGCAGTTTCAGGCTCTGCCCTAAAGTGGCCAGGAGTCACAGCAGCAGTGAGGGACTGCGGAAGGGCAGAGTGCTGTGGCTCAGCTGATGTCTTCAGGTGGTCTTGCGGGTTTTGGGGGTTTGGTGGTTCTTTTTTCCATTCACTGAATTTTCTGCCCCAGTGGGGAACATTTCTTCTGCGAAGGTGTGAGGGGTGTAAAATGCAGGCAGAGTCTGCTGCCTGCCCTGTGTTTTGGACTTCTTCAGCAAAATGGATTTCAGTTGCATGGTGTGGGGTTGTTGTTTTGTACTTTAGTTCTAGTGTTGTTACAAGGATGTGAAATCCAAACTGTCCCCAACTTTTGCAGTGACAGCCATGTATATTCTCCCTGGAGGAGAAAGGTGCTTGGCTGTTGGGCGAAGGAGACTGAAATGGAACAAGTAAAAGTCAAGTCTAACGTCTGTTCAAAATGCTGGTGAATGTGGCAGCTCTGGTTCTCTAGAAATATCAACACTTGGACAGTAGACCCCGTGACAGGGGTGGTGGTTTTGCCATTCTTTTCCTTCATGCTTCATTCTGGAAAAGAAATGTTTATTGCAGATGATTGTCAATGTATTATTTACACCTGGAATCTGATTCTTATGTCATTTTTGTCTTGTAGTTGTACTTATTGGAGACTCCGGAGTAGGCAAGAGTAACCTTCTGTCTCGATTCACTCGCAATGAGTTTAACTTGGAAAGCAAAAGCACCATTGGAGTAGAGTTTGCAACAAGAAGCATTCAAGTTGATGGGAAGACAATAAAGGCTCAGATATGGGACACAGCAGGGCAGGAGCGATACCGAGCTATAACATCAGCGTAAGTGATAGCTTGTACAGGTGAGGAGGGTCGTTTTGGGCCCTTCCAGTTCCTCAGATACTGCACATGGGGGTGTTTGTATTTTATTGTGTAATATCCACAACCTATGCGTAATGAAGCTTAAATATTATTCAGCCCAGAAACTTGATATGGTGTCCCTCTGCACAAACTGATTTGCTTCTTAGTGCTCTCATGATGCGTAACTGGAGACATCTCAAGCCTAGAATGCAAGGGCTTTGAGAGACTCTTTTCAATGCAAGTGATTGATAAAGTAATACCCATGTTCATGGAGGTTTTGTCAGTGGTAAGACCAGAAAGCCTCCTGTAGCAGCAAGGAAAGACTGCTCATTTTGTGTACTTATTTAATTGGAAGAAAATCATAGCAACAGCTGGATTTAAATGAAGTTGGAGGTAATTGTGGGGTGGGAGAACACAGCCTGTTTCTTTTTGGTGCATTGCTGTGCCTCTCTGTGGCCTGAAGGAGATCAGCTGCGGCCTCTGAAGGGAATAGCTCAGGCTGACATTTCTGTGATCCAGTGAGTCATTCTGAAGTCTCTCTGTTGCTGTGGGCTGTGCCCGTTCTGCACCCGCAGTGATGGGTGGGGGAGGCTGTTTCAGGAGTGGATCAGAGGTTGCAGGTGACAGTAGCTCCCCACAGATCCCAGAGGTTCATTTTTGGGATGCAAGGCTCTCCCCACGAGCATGGGACGTGGTGTACCCACTAGACTCAGCTGTCCTGGCTGCTCTGGTGGTCCTGTGACATTACCTAGTCTGGATGCTCTATTTCACTGCTTCAAGTCCCACGTAGCCTGCTTCTGGATAGTTTTTTGTATAGCTGTCTTAGTAATAGCTGTTTCCTATTACTGCACAGTAGCTTGTCACTTTTAATCATGATGTTTCTTGCTGGTTCTCTAACACGTCTCTTCCCCCACAGGTACTATCGCGGAGCTGTAGGGGCGTTATTGGTGTACGACATTGCTAAGCACCTTACTTACGAGAATGTAGAGCGATGGTTGAAAGAGCTGAGAGACCATGCTGACAGCAATATTGTAATCATGCTTGTGGGAAACAAGAGTGACTTGCGCCACCTGAGAGCAGTCCCTACAGATGAGGCCAGAGCTTTTGCAGGTTAGTGGACTTGCAATAATTTCCTGACGCTAACTGTCTGGGGAGCTGCCTGTCTGGTCTTGGATACGCGAGTGTGCCGGTGGGAGGAAAAAGAGTGCCGCTGGTGATGTTTCTCAGCGTCACATACTGGTGTTTGCCTCTCTCTAATTCAGTCAGAAAGGAAGCCTTGTAGAACATGCCTGCTGATGTGGTTTCAAGAATCAGCCAGAGGCACTTGAAGATTTTAAACCAGATTTATTCTCTTGCCTATGCATTGCTTTTTCTCCCAGAAACTGTGCCTGTGGCTTTAGGTTTGGGTTTCTTGTATGGTGGTAGCTTTGCATCTGTATCTTGCCGCCTTTGTACCAGCTGATCTGGAGCCCTACACAGATGCCTGTGGCTGAACAGACTTTCGTTAAGCTGGCTCTCTGAGTCTTGTTACATAATTAAGATCTGTGGAAAAATAATTCTAGATTCTGTAAATCTTGCCTTGTTTTGGGCCAAATTTCTTTCATGCAGGAGTGTAGCTGGGTTTGTTACGTTAAGGCTTGCTATAGCTGCATTTGCAGAGTTTATGGCTGGGGAGGATCCCTGCCTGCGGGTGGAGGACAGTCGTTCCCCTGACATGGGCAGCCCTGTGAAATAAGCTGCTGTGGCATACCAGAAGGTGGGAAGTGGAGAGACTTGACGAGGTTAAAGAAAAATCTGGGAAGCTTCCTCACACAGTTCTTGAAAATGCAACACACTCTCACTGGCGGTGGTGCAGGAAGGTGTGCCTCAAAGGGACACAGCACTGGGCTGATCCCTGTGCTGGAGGAGGAATGTAAATCCTAATATTGGTGTTGGACGGTGCTGCTTTCAGATCACGTCAGGGGAAAAACCCACAACTTTGTTCTTTTTGTTGATAACCTGTGTGTCTTGTCAGGAACGTCACAAATATAATCTGGTACAGAAGCTCTTCCAGATGGGAAACGGCTCTGTGGTATACTCCTCTAATTGTAGTATTTCTGTCCACACAGAGAAGAATGGTTTGTCATTTATCGAGACGTCTGCTTTAGACTCTACAAATGTGGAAGCAGCTTTCCAGACTATTCTGACAGGTGAGTCATCTAGTGCTTTGTGTTTCAAGGGGGAGGGCAGAAGGCTGCTCAGAGATGACGCAAGTAGGCATTTCTTAGGAAAATTTTAAACACTTTATTAAGCAATTTAATGATTCTTCACAGCCGTAAGATTTGGAGTCCAGTTTTGAAGTGTCACAGTTGAAAGGCCAGCCTTGAACTCAGGAATGAATCCTTGTTCACTTTGATCTGCCCCAGGTTTCTAGTCAGCCTAATTCGTTTCGGTTTCCCTTTTGTGTATGTTGCAGGGAGTGCCCATGGGAAAGAATTCTCTCATGCAAGCATCAAGTTAAAACAGCCATTGCTTATCAGAGGAAAAGTCAATCTAGTTTGTTTCCGTCTTTAATGGTGACCATAGCAGTTGCCAAGGGAAAAGGGAGGAGAGCGTGGAGATCCTTCCTTCGACGAGACGCAGCGACTCCTGGGCTGCAGGGTAGTCAGTGTCATTGCATTTAGTGGTCCTGGCTGGACTTCGGGCCTCTCTAAATGCGTGATGGTAGCGAGTGCTGCATTTTTTATGCTCTGTGGATAAGTACTTCCTTGTTATTTAAACCCTTTTTTAGTTAGGCAAAACTTGTTAAGAGTCTGAGACATTCAGCTACGACCCCATGGGGGACCTTAACTTAACCATGGCATATAAAGGCTAGGATAGGAATTCACAAGTTGGTGTGGAAATCACTAGCTGAAGTGGGACTTCTGTGTTGCTGTGTGCTCAGGGCATAGTGGGACAGCAGTGGCTTGTGTGGTTTCTGAGCTCTTGTCATTCCCAGCTTTGGCAAATGCCTCTCTAAATCTCTAGTCTGGGTCTTCAGAACATCTGAGGGACTCCTCTCTCTTGGTGTGTCTCGCTGGTCTAGGTGTGCCAGGGAATCTGTTTTTTTCTGAGTGCCTCCAACATGTTTCCCAGTTGCAAATGTAAACTCCTTCCCAGTGTAGCACGTGCCAGGCTACACGATCTGTTTGCTATGAGCAGTGGCCCAGCTTCTAAGCTATGTGTCTCATGAATCAGATCTCATTGCTGTGACATAGTTTTTAATTTTTTTCTCTTTGCCAGCTAATTTAGACATTCTTTTAAAAATGCACCAAAAAGGGCTTGTTAGCTGTACTGGAACTGCAGGTGAGGAGGCAGCTAGGAAGTTTAGTGTGACAGAAGTATAAGTTCTTGTGCTTTTAGCATTTTGTTGAGGAGTTTGAAATGCTTTATGAAGACCACAGCAGTGGAGGGAGGGAGTTGTTAGGCTGCTGGAATGTTATCTGCCTGTGTCCATCTGTATTTTGTCTTACCCGTAGATGTAAGAGGCCTCCGACAGGTTCTGGTTCTGTTGTGGTTTTTACACGGGATCGATAAGCAGTACTACTCCTGTCCATATACTAGCAAAACAGTAAGTGTGTCCATGTTAGATGAATCAGGAGTGCCTAGGGATGCTTGTCATCTCGCTGCTTCGTGCAGTGCTGGGACTGGAACTTGAGTTTGTTTCCTCTTCAGCTGAACCATGTGGTTCCCGTTTAACCTCAGTGTAGTCATTTGGTTGTAATTCAACATTGCACAAATTAAAAAGGAAAAAAAAGAGGGAAGTTAAGTTAGCTCCTACATTTACTCTCTACATGACTCACTACTGATGCCAGCAAGAGGGTGGATGGCTAAGGAGTGGCTGAACATGACGGTATCTGGGATGCCTGCTGGATTTCCTGTCTTCTCCACCTACCTAAAAGCAGTCCTGTCAAAAATGCTCGTGAATTTGGGCATGGCTTTTTCAGGAGAAGGACATTTTTATTGCTTGCTTGTAACTGCTAAAACCTGCAACTTCTTCCTTTATGCATGTGTAGCCCCTCTCAGGATGAACTTGGAGGTCAGATTCTGGCCAAATGTGCAGTGTGTAATGCAGAACAGCCTTTCAGTGTTCGGAGGGGATCAGGGCTCTCAGATGAAGGTTAGTTAATTAACTTTCATACTCATTCAGCACCAGCACTAGTAAAAAGGAACTGGAAATATATCAGACATTGTTTACCCCCTCCTGAGGTGGCTGTCAGGCTGTCACAGCCAATATAAACTGGTCACCTAGTTGCCCCGATCTCCTGTTGGGCCATTCTGGTCTCGATAACAGTGACGGCTGAAGAGGTGGAAAGTTTGCTGCATGCCCTGGGCTGCTACCTTCGTTCCACAGAGCTGTGTGATGCTGGGGTGATGTGCTCCTGTTGCTGTGGGGAAGCAGTTCACCTCCTGGGCACAGACTAGGCGGTTTCTTTATCTGTCCTCGCATGCTTCCAATTGTACCTTTTATTCCAGAAGTTATTTTGGATTCTAATTCATGGAGGTTTGATTTTTTTTTTCTGTAAGGGAGAGTAGTCTGTAATGGGAGAATGAGTGATTAAAACTTGCCCTTGGTGGACTCTGACAGATTGTTGAGGCTGTTGCTTTCCCACAAATGTCAGTGTTCCCTGCAGGTTGCTGTGACAGTGTTTTGGGTAAAGAGCTCTTGGGTATGTGGACAGGATCCTTGTTCGGGAGGGGCTGGTTCAACTTTGCTGGAAGAAGCACTTGTGCTGATTAGTGGGCCTGTGGTTCCCTCCAGACAGGAGCTCCTGTTTCAGGGAGATAAAGACGAAGTAAATAATGCATTAGCAGCAGGTTGGCTCCATCTCGGCTGTGACTGGCATGCTAAGGACAAATGTTCTGCCAGTGAACTTCACGATAACACTTCACAGCTGGCTGCTTCTGTTAATGATCTGCTTTGAAGGAAAGAGGGGAGCAGTCATCTGAGGAATGCGGTTTTCAGAGTGGCCCTGCAGAATCATGGATAGCCGGTATTTGGCCAGGCTGCCTCCCAGCGTAGTGCCCGCGGGTGGAACGCTCGCCGTCCTTTGAAGAAGGAAGTTGGCGAAGCCGCGGGCTGCGAGCGGAGGTGGCTGGCAGAAGGGGCAGGGTGTGCTGCTGCACCAGCTCTGCTAGCGTTTGCAGCGCGGGGAGCTGCACCACAGAGACATCCAGGCGCTTCTTGATGCTTTTCACACGCCTGCTTAGATCTTTCCTGAACGGGGGGTTGCGACTCAAGTCTGTAGCAAAACTCCTTTCTTCTCCAGCTCTCCTGAAGCTGGTCTGGTTGGGACAGTGTTGGAAACTTGTAGAAGTACTTCCCTCGGAGGTGTAGCTTATCCACACCTAGATTCTCAAATTAAGCCACTTTGAATACGTGGCTTTGGGCATGGGAAATGGGAATCCATTTTTGTTAGTACAGCCTAAGTGAGTGTGGGATCTGCGGGTTTTACAGGTGGAAGAAAGGGGAGAAAGCTTTTCTTTCCTCTCCCTGTATTATAGAGGACTTTGAGGGGGTTGTATCTTACTTCTAGAGGGCTTCCTGTCCTGCTGCGGGTACCAGGGGTGCGTTTGGGGACCTTTCCCTTCTGTGACTTAGAGTAATGGTCCCTGTCCAAATTCTGCTGTTGCAGGATGTCTAGACTTCAAGGGCTGATTGTTGTGCACACAAAGCTGCTTTGTATCATCTGGCAAATAGGAGAGACTGGTATTATAATCCTTTCCCCTCTGAGCGTTCACAGCAGGGTGAAGCATCCTGGAAGTAAACCAGAGTGTGCCTCTGCTCCCTGCCCGGCTCTGTGCTGTCTCTGTTTCTGCGTTCTGCTGCGGCTTCATCTCTAAGGAATCCCATCTCCAAGGAAACAACATCACAGAGCATTAATGTAAAAAAATCTAGGGATTTCTTCTTGTGTTAGCTCTGTACACCTGAAAAGGAATGAAACCCTAGTGCAGGCTGAGCAGATGAGGGCTGGGCGAGCAGCTCCTAGGCAGCAGTGTTTTCCCAGCCCTCTTACAGCGCGAGGCCTGTCTCGCACAGTTACCAATTATGCAGTGGTGTATGCTGCCGAATGTGCCCTGAATAAGGTCTCATTCAGTTACTGAGCAGAGTGTGAAGTGTGGCATCTTCATTAAAAAGCAGATGTCTTCATTAGCCTGGCATTCCTCAGTGCGGGCCAGTTTCAGGGTAGGTTTGCTGCTGGGCGTTTTGCCCCAGTGAGAGCAGGTTTAAGCTGTTCCCACGTCCCCTTTCACAGCAGCACAGCTGCATGTGGTGAGACGGCGTGCAGCCGAGCCGGGGAAGGGCAGGGTTTAGCTATGGAGGCTGGCATCTGGGGCAGTACGCTGGGGCTGCACAAAGGCTTGCGCTGCGGAGGAGGGAGAGGTGGCAGTGAGCAACAAACGTGGGGCTCTGGCGAGGAGATTCAGGCAGCGCAGCTGTGAAACTGTCACCAAAAATCCGGGAATAAAACCTCATAACACCAATATAGTGTTAAAAGGCTATCACCTGCTTACAAAAGGGCCTCGCAGGGCTGCTGGGAGGCTGTGGAAGCGAGGGTCATGGAAGTACATTCCCAGAGTCAACAGGGATAGACCCTGTATCAGCAGAGAAATCAATGCTGTTAAGGTGGTTTTTAAGGATTCAGGGCTGTTTACTGAAGATCTTGGCTTGAAGATGAGGGCGTTGCACTGCGGGCACCCTGCTGCAAGCCCTTGCTTACAGGGCAAGTGTGTGACAGCTTGTGTTGGGGACTGCTGTGAGCTTGTTCAGGAGGTTCTCTGGGAAATGGGGGATTGCTGCTGCTGAGGATGCTACTGGAGTTTCCAGTAATGAAGGCGGCAAGAGCCTTCTCCTGTTGAGCAGGAACGGGCAGTGTTCTGCACTCGGAGGTGAGCTGGCTGTGCGCCCAGCCCCGCACACAGGCCCTCTGCTGCGCGTCGAGCGGCCTGCCGCAGGGCGAGGCTGAGCTTGATCGGCGGGTTCCCACCGGGAGCTTTAACGATCTGATTCCTTGGGATTCACTGAACTTGTGACGCCGTTTGGGTGTAGGGCAGTTGGAAGGAAGAGTGAACTAGAGAAAGGGTGAAATTGGAAAATCCTTTTACATGTGTGGCTCTGGTTTGATTGCCTCAGTGACTGGACCTGTAACTACTTGTGTAAAATCTGGTTTTCTAAACAGTGAATCCCTGTCTGAGTCTGAGCTGTCAGTTTGGAGGCCCAACAGGCAGATTCTTTCCAAGTGCCACTTGCAGAGATTGATGTCACTTGCACAGCCCGTTGATACAGCACAATATCTGCGTGAGAGATTTTTATTTTGCCAGCAGTCCCACGGGTGCGTGCAGCTCTGCTCTTCCTCTTCCTGGGGAGCACTTGGCCTCTGTTTGCGTTGGCAGCTTGGATCAGCGCAGGCTTGTTGCATCAAGGGTAAGGTTTTCAAGCCCTGTTTGTCAGGGACCCTTTAGCTCCTCGGTGCTCTCTCTTCCTGCTGTTGTGAAAGTGGACGCTCAGCCGTGGGATCAGCCCTTGGCAGCAAAGAGGACCTCTCTGCACGAGGCTGCTCCATTTCCAGTACTGAAATGATGTCAGGACGTGCATGAAGCAGCAGCTCATTAAAATTCCGAACAAAGGCTGCTCGCTAATGACAGATTTCTGGTGGAAAGGACGTGTCTTGGTGTGAGGTCAGGCGAGGTGTGTGCGTGTGGACAGTCATTATCCAGCTGGTAAGAGACTTCAGACCTCCAGAAGAACTTGGACCTTTGCTTCGTTTCGCCAGAGCTGCGCTCTGTCCCGCGTTGCTCTGCGGGAGCCCTCGCCCTCTGCAGCCTGGGCTTATCGGAAACCTCGGGGCAGGGCAGGGAGCTGGAGCACGCGGGTCGGGCGCGGGCCCCAGCTCCCTCCGCTCTGTATTTGTTGCCGGCGCGCAGTTCTGTTGTGCAAAGCAGGAGACGCGATGTTGTCGTTTCAGGGTCGGCTTTTTGCTGAACCTGGAACACTTTGAAGCTGTTTGTTAAACTGAGGTTTAACAAGCTGCTTAGTTTTTGTAAACTTTAATGGTTTTAAAACTCAAATTTGCAAGTGAGTTCCCCGTGTGCTATTTTTGGTATGCTTTATTTCCTTTCTGGGGGTGAGGCGCTACACATGCTTTGCTCTTTCTTCTGAGCGGCTGAATAAAGTGCTTTTGTTACTACTCCGAGTTTATGTACAGACACGCCATCGGCTGCCAGCAAATCCCAGGAAACTGGGCAAGGCTTGCGGTGCAGGGGTGCAGCGTTTTCCCCCCGGCATCGCTCTGGGGAAGGCACGGGACTTTAACCCATGCTCTCCGATTTACACTGGAATTTCTTTGTCTGGAGTCCGTGTTCCTTCTCCTGAGTCTTGAAGTTTAGCTGCTCCAACACAGTGAATTTTCTAAAGGGTTTGTGTGCTGCTGGAGAGGCTGAGTCTCCTCTTTTGGGCCCCAATAGACCTTGTCTGAAGATTTAAAACCCTTGGATGATGGGCAAGCTGTCATACGTGATAGGCATGCTGAGAGGGAAGAACTTGTCCTCACAGTCCTGTCGGAGAGAGAACTTCTGAGAGGTTCTTTGTAATCCTGCTGTTGTCTGTGGGTACCTCTGCAAACTGTGGCTGCTTTCCTCAGAGCCTGAAGAACACCAGGAGGAGTTGATGGGGCACACAGTCTCCAATTCCTAGCAAAAAATTTTGTTAATTCTGTCCATTTACTAACTGTTATCTCAAGGGAAGTAAAACAGTTGTTTGAAAACTCGTTTCTTTTGCAAAAATATATTTTATTTTCTGGATATAGAAAGCATCACAACTGAGCTTCTTGTGAAAGCTTTTGTGCATTACCTGTAGAGTTTCAAAACTATAGAAACTCTTTATGTATTTTATGCCTGGTTTCCCCCAGATTTAATTCTGTGATGGTGTTTTGCTGGTGCACGTGTAATGACTCGCTCTTTCTCATCTTCCAGAGATCTATCGTATTGTTTCCCAGAAGCAGATGTCTGACAGACGCGAAAACGACATGTCTCCAAGCAACAACGTGGTTCCCATTCACGTCCCTCCGACCACTGAAAACAAACCAAAGATGCAGTGCTGTCAGAATATATAGAATTGCGCGTTCTTTCCTAACAGGCTGTGTATATTCCCCAGGTCCAAGGTTTAAATATATTTGTAATTCTCGTGGTTACTTTCTTGTGTTTAGTTACTGCTTATCCTTTCTGAATTTCTCCATGTCTTAAACACTTTGATTTCAGTGTTTATAAATCCGTTGCTTCTGTGTGGCTGCAGTATTTTTCCCAACACCGACTTGTCGGTTTTGGTTCAGTAGATTGTTCGGAACTGATCTGATCTCTTTCCAACAGGATGCCCGCTAGTCAGAGCAGATGCCGTTAGTGAGCACTTGAAGATGTTACTCAGCTCCTCGCAAAACAATTACTGTCAGGTTAGCTAGGAAATTATCGCTGGGCAGGGTGATCTTTCCTTGTCTGAAAGTGTTGCATACTGCGTCTGAAGCTTGTTGAAATGCCCGTTGCTCTGAAGTGCAATTTTAATGTAAGTTAAATGTTTTCTGCTACATCTTCAGATTATCAAGTTAAGGATTTTTTTTTTTTTTAATACAATATTATGGGGGAGAAAAGAGAATTTCTTGCGAACAAGCAGCAGGGTTCTCGCTACCTGTGAGCGAGCTGTTGTGGTTTGGCGCCTGCTGCAGAGGAGGCTGTGGCGGGAGGCAGCGCTGCGGGAGGCTGGTGGGCTCCGTCCGCGGGGAGCCAGAGCGCGCGCTGCGCAGCTGATGCAGGGTTGCGCCGGCACACGCAGCGTGTTTGTGTGCTGCCCCAGGCTTGGCCTCCACAGAGCTGGTGGTGTCAGGGTTTGAGGATGCCTTGTTTCTTTTATGATACACAGAGCTGAAGGGTGTTGTCACCTATTGCATATCACACTTATTAATACCTGCCGCGTGTACTAAGATATTCAAATGCTTGAGTTGATGAATCAGTAACTTCCACAACCTGGTCTGAGTTTTCAGTTCTGTTTCATCCGGTATTTTTAAATTATTTCAGTGTTTTGGTATGTGTTCTTTAACAAAAACATCTGGAGTAGTTTTCTTACTGGATGCCTGCCTTCCTCCTGTGGTCTGTCGCTCGGTGCAAGTCATCCGTTCGCGTAGCCTGTCCAGGGATACATGAACCGTGCCTTCTGTCACTGCACTCACTGCGCATCACGTGGTATCTGCTATTGCCAAGCACGTCGTTAGTGTTGAGATTTGGGGGCTGTAGGCACTGAATTTCTACAGTGTTTGAAAGAACTGTCAGTTGTGTAAATGCCTGCAGTTATTTATACTATTCCAGGGAAGTAACTGATTGTAGGGGCCGTTTCTCAAACTCTGATATGACCCACTTGGAACACCCGGCTCTGGGTAGGCGCTGCCAGCTGCGTTCTGTACCCAACCTTTCTGTCGTGCGGTGCTCATGATGTGTAAGGCACACGGAAGGCATTGCTGTAGTCGGTCACTTGGTTTTTTTAATCCATTTCTCCTCCTGGTATTAGTTCTGAAGATGCTATTTTGATCTGTTTGTAAATTACTTTGTATTTTATGCATGTACTGTACCTCGATTCATTATTTTTTTAGATTGATTTAAAATATATTCATCCATGATTCTAATAAAGAATTACAGGGGACGACTGAGTATGGTTTTGGGTGAACTTTTTGGGAGAGCTGGGATTTAACCAAAAGGTTTTTTACTTGCTGGCAGCTAACGAGCTGCTTGGGGCAGGCTGGGAGAAGACGCTGAAGTGGAAGTAGCCCCAGAGAAGGAACCCACAGGGCCGTGTAACACAGTTGTCTTCTTCACTCAGATGAGGCTTGTGGCTTTTTGGGGCACAGTTTGGCAGCTTCAGGAAGCTTTTATGCTCCGGGAAGTCTGTGGGCTCGCTCTGGGCACTGCCCTGAATGGG